CCCCCCCCCTCGTGCCCTCGCTCGCGAGCCGCGCATGCGGGCCGCGTGGGCGCTAGCCTTCTGCGAATCATGTGCTAAAGTGAGCACGGCAGCCTGGCCCCCCCAGCACACGACGAGAGAGGAGGGGGCGCAAAAAGGCGGGCCAAGAGGAACACCCGCAAAAAATAGAGAGGAGGTGATGATGATCATCATCATCATCACCATCTGCAGCGGGGAGAGGCGGCGCTGCTGGCCGCCCGCCCGGGTTGGCACGTGGGCGAGAGAGTCGACGGCCGTACGGCCCGCGGGCAGTCGAGGACGTCGCCCCGCCGACCTGCCTTTTGTTTAGAGAGGGACTCGGGTCTATTTCGGGCGGCGCGCGCCTCCTCGCTGGCCTATTCCTGTCCCCCCAGGGTGGAGTGGAGTAGGTCGCGACCTGACCTTAAGACTGGGCTCAATCAATGGCGTGCACTGACCTAGGCCGCCTGCCCCGGCCCCGGCCCGTGGGAGGTTCCGAATCTGTTATCAGCTGCGCGAAGTGACGGAAAATGTAGGGGATGGTGGGCGGAGGGAGGGAGAAAAAGGAACAGGGGGTGCGGGAGAATAGGGGGCGAAATGGGGAGAAGAACAGCGAGTGGAAAGAGATCAGAATTTGCGGCAATATCCATCCCACGACTTGATTTCACATGATTCATGGCGGCCGGGTGATTCATCAGGCTTCCGAGGCTTTGCAACGAGATGGTGAGGCGGGGCGCGTGGGGGAAGAGGCGGGGAGGAGCGGGGAGAAGAGGGGACGAGTTGGGAGGGGAATGGAGGGGCTACCAGCGGCCGGAAAGGTAGAGCCCGACCAGAGACAAAGTAAAGCCCTTTGTGTTGTATGTTTTTGTCGCTTCGCTTTCGGACGCCCGGAACGAACACTGAGTTTTATTTATCTATTCTGATCGGAACTTTGTTATTAATGTGTCCACCAGCGAAACAGAGAACAGAGATAGGATGTCAAATATTTTAAAGACACTAACGCAGTGGATTTATAAAGGGGTTGAAAGGCATACACTGCTGTAAATTATAAGAGAAAAGTTTGTATATGGCTTTACAAGGGCCCCTTCTCTTTCTGATAAAGTGACGTCCTTCCCTTGTTTAGTTAAACAGATGTTTACTAAGGTATGATTTCCAAACAGTCGGCACAAAACTGACTCGCTTGCCTCGACACGTGCGTGTACTGCTAGCTGTCGTCGCGGTTCAGTTAGCTACGGCAGAAACTAACTGAACAGAGCATTCGGGCGGGCACTGTGGTGGTTCCCAAAGCCGGCTTAACCCGGATCGGCTGACCCCCTCCTGTGCGAACGTCCGGAGAGATGGCGGCGCCATGGTCAGGTGGCTGTCGGGTGTTGGTGAGATAGGGAGGGGGGGGGGGACGCACACCGATACAGTGCAGCGAGGCGCCTGCTCGGGTCTCTCGGGCGCCCAATTATTTCCGTGTAAGTATAACCACGCCGATAAAAGCGCGGGCACGCAGAGAACCCGCCCGCCGAAAAAGCAATCAAACCGATGAAAATGCTGCCGGGGGCTTGCCCACAAACGGTCCACTTTGTGCGAGTAATCGAAAGAGGTCCGTGATCGCTGCCAAACTTTATGAGCGATGGCTGATGGCCCGTGAGCCAGCCAAAGGCCGGCGCCCCGCCGCGCCCAGCAGCAGCAGCACGCGCTCAGAGAGTAAAAGCGGCCAATACCCGGGGCAGCTGAGGCCAATCCTCCTGTAACTCGCTTCCGTTAATTTAATCCTAACCTGCTTCAACCCCACGCGCGCCGCGCGAGCAGAGAGGATCGCGCGGAGCGCGCGCGCGTGGGACCCGCACCAGAGAAACCCTCACCGCAAAAGGGGGCTCGCTCACATCAGCCCCCCCTGTGTGCTCCTGGTCGTGTACGCGCCATCCCACGCAGCCTTTCACACAGCCCGATGATGATCACAAGCCTAATCACACAGCAAGGCGGACAAGGGGCAGCTCTAATTACAGCCGAA